ATCGTAATCTATGTCAAAAAAGAAATCGAAATATTACTAAAAATGGCAAAAAATAACTTAAATTGATGATTCCGATGGGAAAACGGCTGAATTTGGCCTCGAAACCGATGCACGCCCAGCATAGCTCGGTGCCCACGACGTGCACGCCGGAAAGAGCTTTCCGAATTGGGGTTATGGGCGTTATTCTGACAACAGTAGCCAAAGTTATGGCCAAAATGCCGAAACATGTCCAAAAGCAGTCTCAATTAGGAAAGATCGATGATTACTTGCCATTCTTGAGCTGATCAGCCAACTCATTGTATCTCAACGCCATTAACAAACTATTAGACAGCTCAGCCTCGTCTGGCTCGAATCCCCCTGCATCAATAATTTAGTCGAAAAGTAAAAAATCATTTTAATGGAGTTCAATCCTTGGATGAAGAATACACATTGAAAGGTAGCCTATGAGATCATTTCTCCTAAAATCTAAGATAAGTTAAACTTCCAACCAAAAAATTCGTTAAGAAGAAAGTTATGGCAGTCGTTGTCAACTGGCACTACTTAAAAGATAACTGTTAATGGCTAGACACAATGAAGAACGGTACCACAAATTAAACTTAAGGGTAAGAAAATTTATGGCAACATCATTAGAAACTCATTGAACACAGTTCACTAATATGTGAGATAGATATCCACAAATCCAAACATAGGAGGTAATTAAGCTTAAATATGAGAACTCATTTTAATTTGCAAATTTGGGCCTATACCAATTTACCTGCCCTGCATTTCTCTATTTTCAGTTCTGCAAACTTAAACTAGAAAACTAAAGTATAATGATTATCTTTTTTTTAACTGGAAACAAAATATAGTGCTATAATTAAGTAGTATCACTTCAAAAAATTATGTGTAGTTGGATTAACTTTGAACTGACTGAACATTCATTTTGGAGGGTGGACTTTAACATAATCCGATGTGCTCAACTTGTGCAATAAAAACTAAAATGAACAAAAAGATTTAAAAAATGTAAATTTATCAAATGAATTTTACATTCAGATTATATAGTGCTGAAATTACCCTTCTTTCCTGCATATAAAGATGTGAGGTAAGAAGAAAAGCAGCAGATAAAGCTCGTTGGAGTTGTAATATGACTAAAAATTTTAAATGTGTATGCTTGATGCTTTCAGGGGATTTGAACTGGACAAAGATAGTGCAAAAGATGCAGTTCAAAGGATCGTAGAGAAGGCCAAGTTTGCTGCCTCAACATCCACGGATACAATGAATTCCGCTGCATATGGTGATTGTATTACAGATTTTCACTCTATTTTTTGCAACATGGAAAGTAAACCTTTCTTGTTGGTGATGAATGCTTGCAGAGACATCGAAGTATGCTTCTGAGAAGGCAAATGACGCAGCAGACACAACATCTGAGAAAATCAGTAGTACCAAGAGTTACGCTTCAAAGAAGGCGGGAGAAGCAATTAATATGGCATCTGATATGGCCGAAAGCAGAAAGGATAAAACTGATGATGCCCATGAATTTGCCTCAGATAAGGTGAGTCAAGCAATGGATAAGGGTTCAGATATGGCCTATAACGCAAAAGACGCTATAAAAGAAAAGGCAGAAGGAGCCTATGATATTGCTTCGAAGAAGGGACATGACTTGATGAATACAGCATCCGAAATGGGAAACGATGCCTATGTTAAAGCAGGTCGGTCTATGAACAAGGGTTCAGACATGGAAAGTGATGCAAAGGAGAGTGTTAAGGAGTCAATGGGAGATGTAATATCCAGTGGCAAAGACAGCACCTTTGATAGGTACGAGGATGCCAAATTGAAAGCACATGATACTTGCGTGTTTGCAAAGGATTCCATGAGTGATGAGGCTAAAGGAAAATATGAAGCTGCCAAGGAGAGAGTTTCAGAAGCTGCAGGCAATCTAGGAGCGAAAATGAGAACCGAACGCGCAGCAGAGTTGTGATTAATCTGTGACAGCAGGCTAAATACTTTCTAAAACAGTTACTTTTACGCACCTTTTTAAGCTTTGCCAAACATGTATTTTGTAGCCCACTTTTGCAAGGTTTTGTTTTCAGAATCTTCTATGTTAGTAGCTGGTTCGATGATCTCTTTTATTCCGTTTGTAGTTTGGACAGATCTTTTCAACCTGTTGGAGTAAAATTCTTAGCAACTTATAAGGAATAGTAGTTGGTCCAATGAAATGTGCAAGTAGTGGTTATGAATGCGTCACTGAAACTCATGTTTAATTTTTACTAAACTTATAAATTACTAAATAATTTTAGTAAAACAGAAGCAAACTTGAAGATTTTGTTGTTAACCAATATGTTTTTCATTAAAATTGCTGAACTAAAATAGGCTATACTACAACACCGCTTTTTAAGAGCATCTCCAAGAGATTCTTTAAACTTGAGATACTTTCTATTTTAAAGAGTCAACCTTTAAAATTATACTCCAATAGATTCTTTAAATTAACATTTTAATTTAGAGAGTGGGTTTGGCTCTCCAATATAATTAAATGCATTTAAAGTATTTCAATTTTCATTGTGGAAAAATAATAAAATAATCTAAAGAAAAGTTAGCTAAAATAAAATATCAAGAAAAATAATAAATATTTTTTTAGAGTAGTAAAATTAAGTGTTAAAGTATAAAGAGTTTGTTGGAGTTGATAAGTGTGTTTTGCACACTTATTTAGGTCACAAAATATGAAAAATTGTTGATGTATATGTTGAAATATGACTTAATTCGATATAATTTGTATTTGTAGGATTACATTGATGGATGAAATGAA